ATCTGTACTTTTGAAGAAAAGATTTTGCAAAGAGAAAATTACATGAGTATCATGTTTTGAACTTGAACTAAAGATTTACTCATTGATCTGATGCATTTACCCAAAGTGATTTACAGTAGAAGGGCTAAAATTTACATGTGCACCCTGGGATTTGAACCCTTTGCATCATTATTGCAATGACCTACGTACTTTTGCTACAGGACTTAAGACAAAGCGAAGCAAATATGTACTCATTATATATGCATTCTTTCGTATTAAACGGTATAATGAAGGAAGAAACAGACAATTCTTAAAGTTAGGTTTTCATATGATTTATTGGAAAATGATATTTTAGCTCAAGGCAGCCAAACCAGTAATATCATGGTAATAAAAGTAAACTTTAGCAAAATAAAGTGCAATTACACCAACGTGTTGTAAAGTGGTCAAGATGCAATTAGGCACAATTTACAGGAAACAAAATGGTGTCTGTCACAGTTTGAAAATTATTCCATAATTCATTAATCAAAAATAATGTGAAGCAGAAGTGCTGGGTATTAAATATTATATATTTATATATCTATATACACTCATTATAATTAACCTGACTCAGTAGGGTGACAGTTTTGGCTTCCTTTTCCCAAATTTGGTCCATCTGAAGGGAGCTTTTGCTCAATCTCCAATTTAAAAACAATATTAAGATTATGGCCAGCGTTCCCTCACTGGACCAGTCTGCTATGACCCTCATGATGCTCTCTCACATTGGGCCAAAGCCTCCTCCATTTTAGCTTGGATTTCTGCCACACGCTGGGTCCACTTCTCCCGGACCTCCTCTTCGTCGTCTTCGGTGGCGGCCGTGTAACCCATGAGCGCAATGAGGCCGATGTGGAAGAGGTGGCCAAGGTGAGAACAGCGACGTTCCATCACCTTCCGGTCGAAGTTGCAGTGCTGCTGGTACACCTTCAGCAGGGGTCTGCCGAAGACCGTCTGGGCACCAATCACACCACGGTAGTAGGTGTCCAGGCTCAACTCGCTCTTGTCCCTCTCGTAGATACTCGCAAAGTCAGTCATGTAGCGGGGAGTGCTATCCGGGTCTTTCTTAACCCGCTCCACCATATTATTGAAAGCCGCGTACTGGTGCTTAATGTACTCTTCGTATTTGCTGAAGATCTCATTGACCTCATTGATGTGGATCTGCCGCAGCACCTGCTGATTCTGGGCAGAGATGCTCTCCAGTTTGCTGTGGACGGCTTGGAAGTCCTTCTCCAGGGCATGGGCCTCCTCACCCACCAGGCCCTTGCGTGCCACACCTACCAGGGTGCTGACGATGCCGAAAAGGGGGTCGATGGAGGAGGCAAATGAAGACACCTTTTCCACACAACCTAGAACTTTGGCTGCGGTCATTTTAATTTTTTCTGCATCAGCCATGGCTGCCGGTTTTTCGACTTATGTGCCTAAAAAGAAAACAAGGTTATTTCAATTCTTTTTTTATTAAAAAAATAAAATGCTTCATATTAGGAATGCATGATAAAAACATCACATTGTGTATTTTTAATTTTTGGGATAAGTACTACAATATTTTTTAAATAAACGTCAAATAAGTTGATGGTGTTGCCGCGAGTTGTGCCAACAGACACAGCAGTGCTGACAAATCACTCGCTTTTACTCAATATCGTTTCTATGGAATTCAAAATATTTCCATTCAGCGGTAGATGAATGTTTTTTTGGTGATCATTTCTACTCCTCACATGTTGTTAAATTTTTCACAAATGCGCCACACTATCTATAAGTGAGCCCGAAACAGAGGCAAAAAAAAAAGTTTACACTGATTTTTAATACTAGATAATCTTGAAAAGAACAAGCATTAAAACTGAACAGCTTGCCAAGTGAACGAATAAAAATGTTTTACCGTAACTTATTGATAACCTCAACCCAGCTGACTATCCCGGTCCCTGCGATGTGACAATTGGATCTGAATGACTTGCTGATGGTTTTACTTATACTTATATATTATGTTCTTAGGGCAGAACAAAAATGATTGGTTCATAGAGATAACCAATCAGACTGTAGAGGAGGTAGGTCAAAAAAAACTAGAGGAGGCAGGACGAAGACATCTGATTGGCTGGACTCACCACCTCTGCAATCTGATTGGTTATCTCTCTGAACCAATCATTTTGTTCAAATAACACAGAAAATAACATGAAATGTCGGTATTAACATCTAACACTGTGCAGCTATATTTTGTATATTTTGTATGTATGTATTAAGTACAGGGGCGTCGGATGGGCATGGATACCTGGCAGATTCAAGGGGTCCATGAATACATAACATCAGATGGGGAGCCCAATGTGACATTATGTCAGGGGCCCATAATTTCTAGGTATGCCCCTAATTCAGTTTTATAGACTCAAACTAATCTTAAAAGGAAACACAGGCCTGCATTGCTTTAAAATTTAAAAGTGTGACCACTTTAACATGTGGAAGACAAATTTGTGTCTTTATTTCCTCGTACAACATAAAATATTCTTAGCATTGAAACTGCTTATTATATAATAGGTTCCACTAATGGAAAAAGCCCGTAAACATAACAGACCCACGAAAAAAAAAACGTTAAAAAAACCGATTTACATCCGTTTGTAACATTTATTCAGCAGATATTATACACATGCGGAAATTCGTCAGAAACCAGCATTTATGACTGTTGCACCACCTGCTGAAATACTGCCAGTCTATATAGGTGGAAGTACTACTGGCACAAAATGTATAGTTCATCCAGGCTTTTCGAGTTTATTATCTCGGAAGCAGAAATGATCCCACTATAGAACTTAGAACCAAGGACTTTGTTACGGTGCTATTAATTTCTAATTATCTGTTGGGTTCTGTTTAATCGGGCTCGATGTTTTTCTTTAAAAGCCACGCTTAGGTTCAAGCAAATTAGCTGAGCTGATTTTTCCCCATGTACGTCACTCGACGACAGACCCGCAGTACAGATTATATAAATAAATAAGATTACGGGAAATGAAAATAGAGTAATTAACCATTGGTTCCGTTATCAAAATAATGCATTACTTAGCTACTTAATTAGTGATTCCATACAGAAATACAAACTGAACAAATATTTCATTCAAAGTGGCTCGGGATCGTGTTATTCTTTGATTAGTACTTACGTATATCACAGGAGAGCTGCGCAAACGCCCAGTTTTTAAGTACAAAAAACGTTCACATCACCCAGGTAGACAAATGCATGAACCGTTCGACTAGGATCCAGTACTGGACTCGAAATTTACCTATTTTGAAGAGTTTAATCTCACTTCCTATGAGTCGGCCCAACATGCAACCATTTCACCGTCCACTCTCTCCCGATTGGCCACGCCCATCGACCATATAGGGGCACAAGAGGAGGAAGTGACGCAAATGCACAAACCTGATTGGCTACATGGGATTAGTGCCGTAGTATTTCAATGTTAAAGTGGGCGCCCACGTTACGCTATGTTATCATTTTATGTTTCTGTTTAATTTTTACCTTTTGTTTGTAAATTCCCCCCAGATGGCATATGTATTTTCTCAAAAAAAGTAAGCATCGAATTACATCTATATCACACGGCCGAGGTCAGCATTATTAGTGTATCAGAGAGAGGATAGCTTGTTTCTTTTTGCGGAAAATGTCGGAAATGTAAGTTTCTAAAAAGAAAATAGGATAGTTTGCTTAACCCCTAGTGAATATTTGCAGACTTCCATCTAGGCAACACCAAACAACCGGTATTCACGTGAAAACCACGTGAAGACAAAAGAAGGACCACCAAGTGAGATCTCAATCACGTAAATCCGTAAATAAACCTAAGCGAATATAAATATTTATGAAGGAATATCACAGAAGAAATCTGATCTATAATATTATGTTACACAAGTTGCGGTATTGAACCAACAAACTCTGGAAACCAGAACCGAAACCAGAACTGGAAACCGAATCCCCACCTTGCTAACCAAATGAATAAAATCGGCCTGTCAAATACAGTTTATTAATGCATTCTTCCTGCCCCGCGAATCTATTTATTATATTCAAGAGGGCTAGTAATTGGAATACATTTTGATTTAGGGCTTCTAGTCTTATCAACTGAAAAATTGAATATTTAATGTTGTTTGCTTAATAATAAACCAGCTATGGGGGTGACGCCTATCCTTGGGCAGTGCATGCGCACGCTTCACTGGCTGCCAGTCCGCCACATACACATACACACGCAGTCTGGGGCATATTAATTCATAGGCTATCTGAGGACACTTGCAAACATCAGCGCCCCTCCCTGCATTATCTCTGGAAAATCATAATCAGAATCTTTATTGCCACTCTAACAGTTCAAAGTTTTTTTTTGCCACATAAACATTTATGTGAAAGGGAGGTCTGGGCATGCATGCTTAGGCTGCTGCCCCCATGACCCGACCACAGATAAGTGGTAGAAAAAAAATAGATGAATGGATGGATGTATGGACATTTATACTCAGTGTGCAATGTGCAGAAATGCATGGTTATCTAGCCCCACACTATGAATAGATAGTATAAGTTTAAGTAACAACACATAGTATATTAACATTAAATAATAATAAATATCCATAGTGTGCTAAAACTGGCAGTAAGTGGAAGTAGAGCAAGGAATAAATACTGTAATTATTTATATAATACTCTGTCATGCTACCCATGGCCCTGTCCTGATGGTCCTTAAAGAGGACAGGTATTGCTTTAAGACGACCTCGCGTGTGGGGATTTGCTTTTTACCATCCCAACACTTCATTTATGTAAAATAAAATCAAAATTTTAAAACTTTTTTCCCCTGGATCTCGGAAGCATAAACAGCTTTCGACACCATTTTAGCCTTATGATGTATACCAAGAGATGGAAGGTAACCCTGCTACCGACTGAGCAGTGCTGCTCCCAAAAGAATTCACCTGGTTGCAATTCCCTGAAATGTATCATTACTGAAAATAAAACTATCCAATGTAAACAAAATTTGCACATCACACCCTGTAGTACCTCACAGAGAACTAAAGGCAAGGACATGCCATTTTAATTAATTTAAATTTGATATTATAAAGGTATGAGGTGAAACACTGGACTTTTGTTTCCCCCTCTGCTTTGCATAATGTGCCTATACTCTGCCCTGCATAATGTGCCTATACTCTGCTCTGCATAATGTGCCTATACTCTGCCCTGCATAATGTGCCTATACTCTGCTCTGCATAATGTGCCTATACTCTGCCCTGCATAATGTGCCTATACTCTGCTCAAGCCACAGCCTAACATAACCCTGTGTCATGTGGTTCGGTTTGCTGCTTTTCTCTCAGCCCATTGTTCTTATGGTTTCCCAGCCCCACCTTGACAGGCTGTTTTCAGTTACTTTCTTCATTTTACCTTTAAAGTGAAAACTCATTACTTAAACCAGCTTGCATTATTACTTTGCATGTCTAGTATAATAACTATTTCAAAGCAGCAATTAACCATTATAATCATTGTAGTTAAATCAACAGTGTCATTATGAATTTCTTTGGTAATTACTGATTGGAATTACAATTGTATCTGCATAGATTTTCTACCACAGTTACTCATAGTACGTTGTTTGGTATAATTTAACAGAGGTATCATAATCAAGAGAGAGCGGCAGATTAGGTTATCAAGTATTTAGCAGATCTCCATGGTAACCATTGTGTGCTGTATATATCCTGAAGTACTTTAACAACCATCATGTAATGACTACAAAGATAAGTGTTACAATTTCAACACATATAATTACAATAGAATAGAATAGAATAGAATAGAATAGAATAGAATAGAGATAATCTTTGTCAGGAAGCTGCAGTGTAATGTAGTCTGGGCACTGGAGGAATGAGTCACATTTAGTAGGAAAACAGCTGATACATTCCTGAACAGTTAATTGTGCCTTATGACCAAATGAAGGCCAACTTTGGCGCATTTCCGCAAAGTATTCTGGGTGAGGCTGTAACCAAACAAACAAGCTACTGGCCATTTTGTATCACCATGCTGTTTATTTTTTTTTCTTGGCTAGTGCAACAATACACACACACACACACACACACACACACACACAGAAACCTGTATTCATATCCTTGTGGATGCCATCCATTCATTTGTATTGGCAAAACCCTAACCCCATCAATGATGACCTTAACCCCCACCCAGGCCTAACCTTAACCATTAGTACCCAAACAAAAGACTTTTCGGCATTTACATTTTTTGACTGCAGTCACAAATTTTTATAAAATTGATTTTCACATCTGGGGGCCCAAGTGAGGCCCTTAGCCCCCAGCTCCATGGGCACCCCTGCCCTCCACTGCCCAGCTTTACTTCACCTACACGTGTGTCATGGAGAGCTGGACAGGATAGGTGAAAAGAGAATTTCCCCACAGGAATCAATAAATTGTCATTATTATTGTATATAGAGAGAGTATATAAATGCCTGCATGTTTTGTGTCTTATAACAATATGATTATTAACAAAGTTTCAGTGAAAGGTAAATTATATTTACAGTTGGCTTTTTGAACCATTATTTAAAAAGTACACAATACGTACAACTCAGCACATTGTTGGTCTTCCTCATTATTCCCGACAACACATGTCACAGAATGTTAGAATGAAAAGGCAAAGGTATTTGTGGTCTTTATAGCAGCGCGGCGTGTGAATGAGCAGGTCTGGCACAGTGGTGTGACACCAGGAGCTGCCAGAGACCCACAGACATCCACAGGAACTGCCCCGTCAACATTATCAGCTGCCCCCAAAATCCCAGCCCCTACTGCACCACAGTGTGGACATCATGAATCAGGTAAGAACATTAACGATCAACGCTGTTTATATATCTCACAATTTCTCTGTTTAATCTTATTTTGCACAGACTGATTTCCTTCTTTAATTACTCAAGTAATGTTACCTAAGTTTGTTTACTCCTTAAAACCAGTTCCTTGCATTGTGTTGGAAATTAATGTAGAAGTAGTAGTATTGAACTGAAAAAATAGATTTATTAATGCAAACATGTGAACATATGAACATTTTTAACTAAATAATGGACTTTGTGGTCGTGTCATCGGACTTGTGGCCGCATGTATTGGACACTCGGGTGAGGAGAGCTGTCAACTGATCACTACCTGG